CCCCAAAACCCCAAAACCCCAAAACCCCAAAACCCCTGAAAACGAGCAACAAGTTGAATCTCAACTCATTTTATTGATCTATATCAAGAACCTGTAGATATCAATCTTCCTCTCAAAGAACAAGGTATATGCCCACTTGACATGTTTCATCGCGGGATATTCTTCTTCACTAGAGAGTATACAACTCTTCCCAAGTTTGTTGATATCACTCTTCTCCATCTTTTTCTATAAATTATTTTAGATAAAGCTAGGTATACCAAACAACGAGGAGATTATACCATTGAGTTCTTAATTTAGTTTGGTGTAAATTACTTATAAAAATCCTTAAATTTTACACCTAATTCTGTAAAATAATTTGCAAGGTTTGCAATCCCTTTATTGGAAGCAAAAGGAAATTTTGGTCGAGGATCTTATCTTGGAAAATATATTTTATTTCAAAAAAATTGTCTAAGCTCAACTTACCTCTACATCATCCTTAATTTCTTGAGTTTGATGCCTGAGAATATTTTGATAAATCTCTGCCTTTATTGCTATCATTTCTGCAAGATTGGAGTATTCTTCAGCATCCATTGGCTTTATTGAGTCTTCAGAATTCTCTGATTTATTATCCTCAACTCTATAAAATCATACTTGGTTTTACTTCTTCTTCCTCTGAATTTCTTTGATCTTGTCAAGATGCTTGGTGATGTAGGAGGAATATTGGTCTACCTCAAGATCGAGCATTGCCTTCCTCCAGAGTTCTTCAATACTATAGTCCTCTCTTTTGATTCTTCGCTGCATTGCTTTAATCAAAACGCTCTGTAAAATATTAAAAATCAGAAAGAGTACCAACTTGAAGTATTCTTTTCTTAATTTCTGAATGGTATCTTCCGGGAGTTGAGAGTCTTTGTCATTACCTGTGGTGAACTCACTACTCATAGTTTCCTTGACCATGTATATAGGCTTCTCCACTGGCTTAACTTGCATTCTTTTATTCCTTTCTTGGTTGATCTTCTCCATCACAATAGTCGATCTAGTCACCGAACCCTGAATAAATTTAAAAATCTTAGATTTGTCCAGGTTCACAGATTTCCTAATCGTCTCATTATCTTTAGCTTCATTCTTCTGAGAGTCATTTGACATTAATCTTGCTCTCTGAGTGAGACTCTTCTGTGAAGTAATCTGGCCTTTAAGAGGCTAAATTTTAAACTGCATTCATACCTTTAGGATATTTTTAAACTTATTCTCCATTTCTTTATGGCGATCACCTTTAGTTTCCTCTACAAAATCCCTCTCTTCTATAGTTTGTCTTAAGTCAGAATCTTTATTTTCAGATTCTGATTCTTCCTCCTGCTCTTCTTCCTCTTCTTCTTGTTCTTGTTCTCATGATTCGGTAATTCTACATGATGATTTATTAGAGGTTACAAGTCTTCTTCTGAGACTACGTTGTCTATTTCCTCAAGGATGCCATCTCCAAGGCCTTCGTCATTCTCCATCCCGTTGAAGTCACTAATTTCTAGGACTGAGAGCCCTTTTGAAATTCCGTTATCATTTTGGTATCTTAGTTCACTTTGTGCTAATTTGTTATCCAAAGCCTTACATAAAGTATTGTTGTACCCCAGATCTGCACCTCTAGAGAAGAGAGTTATCGTGGCTTAGGAGAGAGTGAAGTGTGTTAATTTTTGTATTAATTCGGCATTACCTCATAGTACTAATCCTCATCACTGGTGAACTATTGATCATACCCTTCATTACTAGTAATGCCTTGTGGTTTTCCTGAGCTATTCGGAAATTAGCATTGAGAATTTACTCTCATTTACAAGCTCTTTGATCAACATCTCATGCTCCTCTTTTGTCATGTTATAATGAGCCAGTTCATTACAGAGAGTTTTTATTTGGTTATCGATTTTAGTTAATTTAGAGTGGTTTGAAACTATCTCCTTATCCTGTTCTTCCACCATCGTGGTCACTCCTTGGAAGTTATCCGATAAATTTTCTGAAAAGTGAGTGATCATGCCCTTGATTTCGGCAATTTTCTCCATAATCTTTTCATTGGCATTATCAATATTTTCGTTAATTCCTATTGCTGAGATGTCTTGTTTGTTCAATCTTATGCTATGATTAGAGATTTGAGACCTGAGATTCATTCCATTTTGGCCATCTGGATCTTCTTCTTCACTGTCTTCTCTGCCCATAAAAGAGCTATGATGTAATCTTTCCATCTCTATTTGTTCTTTTTTATCAAGCCTATGATTAGTTGTTATGAATTACTGGTTCCTTAATCGAAGGTTCTCTATCTTGGTAAGTTCTAGCTCGCCTTCAAGTTCTGTAAGCTTATCAACGACTTCTGCAAGATCTTCGTCTCTTCTGTCAACTTTTTCAGCAAGGGAATAGAGGCTTTCTTTAAGGTCTCTATTACGTTCTTGGAAGTTCTTATTTTCTTCCTCGAGTTTCATACATTTCTCCAAGTTTTGTTGTGAATTATACATCATTTCTCGCAGAAGCTTCTCTTTGTCTTTCTGAACTCTATAACTTAGCATCCCTAATAACGAAATCTGGCTTACTTCTTATAAACTCTATTAGTGTTCTGAAGAGATTGTTGCTGTATATCGGATTCACTTGAAATATCATCATTGCTGAAGTTTGGGAGACCATCCATTTCTCTGAATTTCTTGCTGAGCTCACTAAATTAAAAGAGATTTTAACTTTTGCCTTACCTCTCCATGTTTTGATTAAGTTATTTAAAAAGTATAATTCAATAAGCATAATTGATGTTGGGGTTTTGGGGTTTTGGGGTTTTGGGG